TTAAAATTTCAGGGTGAGCTTTGCTGATGGCTTTAATGAGTGCAGCACTTTAATGAGCACAGGACTGAGGCTTAAGAGTTTGATTCTTTAATAGCTGCCTGTAGCTCAGCCACTCATTCAATGCAACTGCATTCAACCCATTCAACCTACTGGCAGAAAAATGTACAACTTAACTTTTGATAAAAATATCTATGGATGCTGCTAACTAGTGGTTCCTCTGCCTATCAAAGTGAAAACAATGCAAAGTATCATCTAAGTAATGAAGTGCTGATGACTTTTCCTTAGTAAACAGGGTATTGTGGTATGGTTCCAGATACAAAATTTAAAAAATAAATTACTACAATTAGTACACATTTATTTATCTTTCATGAAAATGTCCATCTGTCAACTTCCTTACTGGCAAACTGAGACGTTCCTGCATCATGTATTACACAGCATCCAGACTGGCCCTTAATCTGAATAGATTCACAAATGGCCAGCAGACATTTCAACATGACTTTGCGTCTATTTAGTAAGAATTAATTTCATTTCATTTCATAAACTGTTTCTACCACAAATGGCAAAATCTCTGAAACATTTTTGAATCCTAAACGATTATTTCATGAGTATATTCCCTTATGTCAGCAATATTCACAGTAAAGTTACTCGTGTGTAAATGGATTGTGCCTTTAAACAAGATCTGTAACCTTGACATGTGTCTGTAAGTCCCATCACGATTGCTTTGAAAGTGTTGATACCAGCATTAGTTTTAGACTTTTCTAGCTATTAAGCTAGAGTTCAGCCACAAAACCCCCTAGCCAGATTTTCAGCCCCCAACAGTTCAGTGTTGCTTTGATCTGGAATTTTGTTTCAAGCTACGGTGATAAGGGACAGACAGCTGTGACACCCTGTCCTGGATTTTAGTTCCCAACTGAAATTTCTAACATTCCTGCAGTGGCCTTTACCTGCAGTTAATGTCATCCTCTGCTCATCATTACCAATGAAACCAAGAGCCCACTGCTCATTAACGACTACTGAGGGACATCTTAAAGGGAAGATCCATGTTTCTGTTTCCAGTGACAACTACAGCAGCTGTATGTGTGGACTAATGTTACCTGAATATATCTCAAAGCTATTAATGCCATTTAAAAATAAAAAGAAATTAGTAAATAAGATCTTTAGAGTATGGTTCAAGGCTAATATGCTGAGACTAGTATCAAGCTTTTAATCTACTAAATATAAATAACAGCAATACAATAAGAATATAATACCACATATACAGCACGCCCTCATGTAGCAATGGGAGAAAACCAAAACACAAACAACAAAAAATAAAAGCAAAATAAAAACCCAAGATGCTTACAGTAGCTTCTGAAATATACATAGCACTGAAGATTTTTGAACTCAGGTTATTTTAATGGAAAAAAATATCCTCAAGTTTGTAAGCATTATCAAGAGTTTTCAATCTGGAAATGTCACAAGATATTGCAAGTCTCTGGAAATTCTGCTCTTCTTCAGTGTGACACTGCATCGGTTCTAGCAGCCAGGTGAGCTGGGAACCTGGAGCAGTATTTGCTCTTGCACAACCCATACAAAAGCACCTGCAAAAGCAGCCGCATTCCGCTTGAATTTCCAGGAGATGAAAAGGAGCCTACGCATGCAACTGCAATTACTATTAATGCATCCAGATATATGGATCCTATTGGTAAATTCCAGCTTAGCAAAGTAAAATTTGGCTGTTGCTTGATCTTTAGTGTGGCGATAAATTTTGTGTCCACTTTTAAAAGGTTGGACACTGCGTGAAGGTCTAGAGCATTCAAAGACTTTTAAAGTTCATGAAATCAACCGTAAATTTGGAAGTAAAGAGTTGAAACTATGAGACAATAAAAAAAATAAAAGGAGTAGTTGTCAGCAGATTAAGACAGGACACAAACTGCACTCAGCTGCCTCATGACCATGCTTATCATTGGGGAAACTATTACCTGTTCCTTGCAGATATATCTTAGGCTTAGATTTCCAGTGGGCTCTGTTACTGAGAATAATGTAATTGCCAAACTGAAGGCACTTGTAAAAATAAATATAAATAAGCTTTTATCTGATGGCCATTCAAATTGCTGGGCAGAAATACTACCTCTAGACTCTTTACATAACCATACAAATGGACAGTTGTTTATTTGATGACTAAATATTGCAAACCAGATGCTAATAGGCTCTGTTCGTCTTCAACTTCTAGCCTAATTCTGTATCTTTCCCTGAACCCAAAGTTATCAGAAATCCCCCACAACTGAAATAAAAGAAAAATATCTCTGTGAACCTCTAGATGTTAATGCGTCTAAGTATTAAATAGCTCTCATCAACAACTCTTTTTTTTTTTTCCCCTTAGTTTTTGGGTTAAATTAACCTACGGACTTTCATACCTGTAAATATGTTTTGATTCTGCTATGACAGGGATGCTTGGGAACATGAACTGTAAACACAAGCACACATTCTTTGTCACAGATACTGTGATCGTTTCCCAGCAGATAAAATTTATGATGGCTGGACTCCTTTTTTTTTCTAAACAGAAAGGTTACTCACAACAAGGTCTCTAAAACAGCATTTTACAGAGGAAGATGATCTACCCAAAGAATTTAACATAAAAGCTTGATGGCGAATTTCAGAATGAATTAAGGATGAAAGGCCTTTGTGCTCCATTTGAAGCTGAGTGCTTTTTAAAATCAGAACCAACACGAACATGTCCATTTGACTTGAACCTCAAACTTCACTTCACCATCTAAAGAAATTTCCTGGAAACTGGAACATTCTAGCTTTGAAAAAAAAAAGCTCTTTTTCATTTATGATGAGATAATAAAACTGTTTTGTTCAAAGCATTTCACTGAACTCTTAACTAGCTGTATGTTTTATAGCAGCACTCATGTCACAGATGCATCCCTCTAGAGACTCTGCACATATTTCTAAATACACAGAAGATAGTTTCTCTATTCATCTGAGCAATTTCAAAACATTTCTGAAGAGAAAGAAATTACACCTGAAAAATTTCTCTAGTCGATTCCAATAAACACTGCATGTAGCCTCCAGTTATTTGTTTCTCTTCAGCTTCAGAGTGGGTAGACACAGAGGCTTCTAGAAGCCACTTAAAAATGTTCTGATAGTGCAAATGGGCTCCATTTTAAGGAACTCTTTTAGTGGAGATAAATTATTTCTGTAGAAAATAAGAGAAGAGCACAGCAGGGTCCCAAGTGCTAATCAAAGGACATAGTGCTTCAAGAAAACATTCTTTCCAAACAAATTGTTGGAGAACTGCAATAGTGCAGCCTGCACCGCAATTACTGCAAGAACACTCTTTTTCTTTTTTTTTGTAAGATTTAGGAATTTAATTTCTCCTTGATCAATATGTTCCAAATCTGTAAAAACCAGAAGATATTTTTGCAGAGGGATTTTAATTTGGGAAATCATTGTGCTATCATTTTCTATGCATCATGTTATGATGCATAACAAATGCCCACCAGTTATATATTTTTTTTCCCTGACCTGAGTCTTCCTCCGAATGGAAGAAGTAACACCGGTCATTATTGCTGTTGGCAAAAAGAAATCCCCATGGGGCTGGCAGAATTTGGTGAAATTTTGTAAGCTGTTAAAGCACGATGGCTAATCTGGATGATCAGAGTAATCTTTTTCTGAATTTATTTCTTCGATTTCTGAATGCCACCTTGCATTTTTTCTTACTTAGGAATGTGGTTTCCAGAAAACTTACAATCAGGATGATCTCTTAATTAAATTCCAGCTTTTACTTTGATTTGTAGTTAGGTTGCTACCTTTGGAAAAATGTTAACAGGAATTCTTTGAGATTAAAAACTCTAAAGCATTTGATATATGGGAGCACTTCAAGCTCCAGCAAACTGAAGAGATTTGTTTGGCTCTGAAGAATCCACTGAAAGCAGAAAGCTTTCTGTAAAAGTCTTCTATAATGATTTCATTAGTTCAAAGTATGACTATTTTTCCCACCTACTTGCTTACTGGTATAATAAATGCTTTTACATAAATTCTGCAAACTGTTGGATCCTGCAAGTTCACAGGAGTTTTATTGCTTTCCATGAACCCACAAACTGAACTGACTGTAATACATAACGCTGTGGGATTACTATTTGTATACTCTACATCCAAGAGAGCTGATTGCATATTAAAGACACCTAAAGAGTACCATCACAAAGCCCACTGTGCAATATGCTGTAAAAAACACATAATATAACTAAACCTCTATTCAAAAGAGCTTATGGACCAAGGGTAAAATCACCCTTGCTCAAAGACCATGCACCATGAATGTCCCGTGTGGAAAGTGCAACGGGATTCATACAGAGCATTGTCTTTTACTGACTCCCTGCACAGCTGTGAACTGTCTTCAGGGCTTCCACTACATATTCACAGCAGAAATAGCTGTGTTGCCTTAAGACAATACTACCCCACTGGTGTTTGTTACTGTGCAACATTAAGCTGCTGGTGCTAAACTGATGGACCAGTCATGTGAATGCTTTCTAGCCGCTTCTGTGCAACATCAAGTTGTTAATTCAAAACAGCTCTCAGCAGAATGTGAAGTCGACCAGGATGACTTTGCATTGCAGTTGCTGGGGAACACTCATCCAATCCATTCCACTGATGCAGCTGTGAGGTGATAATCACAGCTGGAAAGGTGATAAGAAACATCTGGAGAGGCAGTACTAACAGCAGAGCTGATTTTGCAGTGAATGAACTCTGTGCACAGAGGACTTGAGGTAACATTACCAGGACATTTTAAAATTAGGACACAAATAAAAATTGTAACACTGAAATTCTACAGAAACTCAGTGGGGTGGCTCTACTGTTGCACCTAACTCCTTCTTTCCTTAAAAATCCCCCTTCTTATGCTTTTCAAACATTAGTACAATTAATTTGCAGCAGCAGATTTAGCAGTTGCTCCCAGGCTATTATCCTTTTGTGTATAAAAAGTCATAAATTTCAGAAGCTAATACATGGCATGAACTTACTTTAATGACGTCTTCATCAGAGGATTTGCACTCAACAGATTCAGAGATGTCTGTCACAGCACTGTTCTCCTCAATGGAGACCACTTTGATGGGCACTGCCACTGTTTTTCCCGTGAGAATTGCGGTGTTCAGAATTTCCGTATCCTGTACACAAAACAAAGCACAGGGCTGCTCAGAGACAGCGAAAGGGATTTCCAAGAGGCAAGTAACAGCTCTTTAATTGGACTTACACTCACGAAAGGTGCATTAGTTGTCAGTGGCTAATGATCTCATCTCAGTCTCAAACAGGTGCAATTTGGTAAAAGCTAGTAAAACCCCAATCATATTTTAGCTGCTAAATAAACACAGTCAGCTGCATTGCACACTGCTAAATACCGAGCAATGTGAGTGCAGCTAAATTCAGTCCAGGCAGGCACACATCACAGCTAGCTTCCACTTTTTCAGTATGTGGGGCTTTTCCCAATATTTCCCTTTCAAAACACAAGTTCAGAGTTTTTACTAAATTGGATTTGATGGGCAGTGTTTGGGACAGGATATAAGAGTCTCAAAAGTGAAAATACTGTTCTTTGAGTCTTAGTCCATTGCAAGGATGGGGCCTCTCTGTGAACTTTGTATCTGGAACTGTTTCAAGATTATTTAATTTCCTTTGATAAGGCCAAAGAAGCAATGTAAAAAATCCAGGAGGAGTTAGTGATTCTATAAGGCCAAAGAAGCAATGTAAAAAATCCAGTGATTAGTGATTCTGTTAACTGCAGGGAAAATAACAAGGAAATGTGAAGTTTGAACTTGGGTTGTGGCATAGAAAAGATTTTGAATGCATTATTGACCAAGCTAACTCTTCTAATTCCTGAACCATTTCAGCATTGCTGCATTCCCAAGATTCCCATGCAGGAATAACTTTGAAGTTTTCTCCAAATTCTCAACTTTGAGTTCTATATAGTGAATAAAATATACAGCAAAATCCTTATCACCAAAGTCATGAGAACTGAAGCCACTGATGTCAATGGCAGCAAAACGGGGCACTGATACCATTGCTACTGCTTTCAATTCAAGTTTAGTGAGTTTGAAATCTAGGTCAGATTTTCTTTTCATCTTGCAAGTTGTTATTTCCCAGGTTCTCCTAAGAGATCCCATCAAACTTAAACAACACTGACAAAAAAAGGACTGTTGACTTTTATAGAAAACTAAGAACCCTAAATAATTTCTATGGCATATATGAAAACAAAGCTACCCAAACACAGTAAATCGGAGCCAAATTTATAAATAACATTATTAGGAAATCTAAGGCTATTCTCAGGAACTCCTGACTTTCAAAGGCAGAGAGCACCCCCAGCTGTCCCCCATACAAATTCTCCTGAGTACCTGGCATTTTTGAGCACTGTATTGAAATGCATGGCTTTCGGAGCTTAACTTCCATCATCCAAACTTGAAAATTTTGTTCCAGAAGTATTTATTTCCATGTACTGGCATTTTGATAAGTCCAGAAACAGATGCAAAGGAGCAGATCTCATTTGTGAAAAATCCTAAGTAACAAACCCAACTATTCCTCTATCTGCAGACTGCCAAAGCAACAAGCATTAAATAACCCACACAGGTTCACCAAAAAGCGAGTTCAACATATTTTCTGCTGGGTATTTGGCTACTGCAAGTGCTGCATGTCCTGTGAAATTAATCTTTTGCCTCGATCCCTTAAAGCCTTATTTTTTGTGACTCTCAATGTTAAACACTGCAAACTAAGGTCTCCAGGGCAAAGGAGCAGCAAAAGAGTTTGTGGAAACAACAGGACATCTTTTCAGGCTATCTCAGCTCTGCTTTGAAATGATTCTACTCAGATCCAGTTTTTCCTTAGCAACTGATATGTATTAGCAATAGAGAAATCTAATTTAAAGGGACAGATTCAGAGGAAGAGAAATCCCATAGAGCAACGAGTTTCAGATACAAAACATACTCTGTGGCTTGGGGATTTACCCATACTTGCATTTAATGGTAACTTATGAAGTTAAAGACAAATCAGAAAATCATATATACACAAAATAAACAAAGAAATAAGCCCTGCACAACTGCCAAGAACATAAAACAAAGACCTGATCACGCAATGAGGTGAAACTTCTGTGCCACAAGCAGCAGAGTAAATTCAGCATCGGGTTAAACTTGCAACAAAGTGCCTGGGAGGCACTAGAATTTCCTCCAGCTCAGCTTTGTTCATGCCTGCAGCGCTGAGGACTCAGTGGCCTCAACATGAAGTCAAATATTAGGAAAAATAGTAGAGAAGATAAGTGGGAAGCCCAGGAGACAAAACCACAGGCACCCAGATCTGCATGAGGATCCTGTGTTCCTGATTCCCCAGCCCTGCATAGCACCAGGAAAAGACCAGCTGCTTGGTCTGCTCTGGCATCCCCCTGAGGGATGGTGAGACTGCCAGCAGAATCGTGCTAAACCATGTTTGCTGCACCACCAGCCAAGGCCGCAGCTAAGCTCTGAGCCTACACCACAGCACCGCCAGAACACTAGAGGACAGGATTAAAATGCAGTATTGGAAATAGGGTTTAAAAAAATGGGATGCAATAAAGATAAATGACAATTGCTACTTTTCTGTAGGAAAAACTAATCCCATAAATATAGGATTCACCTGTAAGATGTGAGGTATTCCTACTCAGCACAAGCAAGGCCTCAGCTAAAGGACTATGTCTGATTTTGAGAGCCATGCTGCCAAGAAAAACTTTCTCAAGTGAAAAGAAAAAAGACAAGGAGAATAAATCAAAGACTAGAAAATAAGACTGATGAGGAATGACTGAAAGAACTGGGATTGGTTAGCCTAGAAAAGATTATGGGGACATGATTACTGTCTCCATATACACAAAAGTCTTCCAAAAATGAGGAAGAATAAAGTATTTCCCATGTTCATTGACGGGGTCGGAGGTAGTGGACTTAAACCACAACAAGGAAGGTTTGTTTGACATTAAGGCAACCTTTATTACAAAAGTAATAGATAGATAGATAGAGAATAAATAGAATAGGTAACCCGGGGCAGAAGCAAAAGCACAGTCTAGCCTAAAAGATCTTTGAAGAACAGGTTATACATCATTGAGAAACAACATAGGTTCTTTGAGTCAGGTAGAAGAGGAAAGAGAGCAGATGACCTCCTGTGGTTCCTTCCAATCCTGTATTTTAGCAGTCTCCATTTTTTCAAAATTGAATGGTAACACAATAATCTATACATCTTATCTTCGAAATAACCCTATTCTGCTTCACCCATCCCAAATAATATGATCCTTCTTCACTGGACAAAAGAGAAAAAAAATAAAATAAAAAATAAAACAGAAAAGCCTGACAGGAAAATGTGACTGATATTCCTGCTTTCTGCACTACATAAGGCAGAACTGATGTACCAATTGTTAAGTAATAATCTGTCACTTCTGTTTCTCTCTTTCCAATAGGTCATTATTGGTGTATCTGAATTCTAAGTGGCCTTGATATAAAGCCATTATTACAAAGGTCGAAAAACCTTTTGAAATTTCCCAAGACCTTTCTGGAGAGAAGACAGAAAATTTGCCTACTGGCACATTACCAGCAATTAGAAACCTCAATCTTCTGCCCTTTGCTAATGGTTTCATTAAAGGAAGCAGTGTGCATCTGAATGAATTTATTTTGATTAATTACTTCAGAAATGCATCTGGCCCCAAAATTGTAAAAGGCGTCATTGGTCATGATAAAGGGCTACTGAAATTTTACATCCCTTCTCTGTCGTCCAGTATGAACTTCAGGAATTTCAAATTCATTATGTGTACAAAGGAGATGGAAACATATTGTATATATTATCTAATGGCTTCATAAATAGTACCACTACAATCATTAGATATCCTTAGCATTGGGAAGCAACTGGTAGCCACCCAGTTACTGCACTGAGCAGTGATGGAAATCTTCATTATTTCATCTCCACTGAAAGCAGTCATAACTCATTGGTATTACACAGAGTAAGAAATACTGAAGTATAAGCAATTAACGTATCACATACTATGTTAAAAGCAGTTTCAAAATCTGCCACTTCCCTCACTCTGTCTGTAAGTGCCCTTTGTATTCAACTGTGATATTAAAAAAAAAACAAACCAAAACCAAAGAACCAAGCCTTGATTTTATTGTCTTTTTGTTTAGAACTAAAATAGAATTCCATATCCCTGTATATGGAATAGCCTTATGGCACAACTTCTGCCTCCTGTGTGTTTCCTTTATATTGCTGCAATAAACCCAAAGGCTTTAATGAAACAGAGAATTGACCCATTGTCTGCAGCCGTACACAAGCTGTTAGGCAGAAATTCTAAATAATGTATGAAAGGATCCATGGTCCAAGACTCCTCAAAAGCTGAACTGAAACTCATAAAAATAAAAGGAGCTGAAATAGAACTCTGTCTGTCTGTTTGTTCCGCAATACTGAGCATTCTGAACATGCACCACAGACAAGGGGGCTCTGATTCAGCACCCGAACCTGTTTCCCTTGCATTCTGCCACCTCCTCTAATACCCTTGATTAACCATGGATAAGCAGAAATAGTAGTTGAATCTTTAAGATTATGTCAAGCAACATTAAGAAAACAATTGTTCTCACATCAGAATAGGAAATACAGTAGCTGGTATAGGTGGTGATTTTTATGTTTTATTCTTAAATGCAATATACTATTCTGTTTGCAAGCTAATTTGGGAGTATACAAACAAGATTACTAAGAAATCTTTAGAGAGACTAAGAACTCACTTAAAATGTAGGTGCTTTTCAAAATCACAATATCTTGGCCATTTCCACATTCTTTAATTTTTAAAATCCCCCCAAAGAACTAATCTACTTTCTGTGCAGGCAGCAACTAAAGTTGTAAAATCAAATTTATTTTGTGTGGCAAAAGACTGAAAGCATCAGATAGCAGTGTTTGGACTTGTTCCCAATAAATTCAAAAATGGGGAAAGTAGCATAAAGTAAATTGAAAAAGCAGGAAAAGGATGAGTTACATGTAAGCATCAACATCCAGGTTGGAAAGAAAAATTCTGTATTATAAACTCTAAAAAAGCAAGGGTTGTCATTTCCAAAGTCAAAATGGAGAACTACACATATAATTCTCATGTACACAGAAGGGATATTTGAGCTCTGAACATCTTTGT